GGCAGGACAAAGTCCCAGACACTGAAATCCTCCAGCAGACAGGTATGTCGAGCATCTTCACTATGCTCCGAAAAACACAACTCTGTTGGGCTGGCCATGTAGTCAGAATGCCAGACGAGCTTCTGCAAAAACGCATCCTATATGAATAACTTCAGACTGGAGCACGCTCCCATGGAGGTCAGAAGAAGCTGTTTAAAGACACCCTGAAGGAATCTCTGAAAGACTTCGGCATTGACCACAACTCGTGGGAAACGACAGCCCAAAACCGTGCAGCCTGGCGTGGGGCCATCAGCAAGGGAGCGGCAGCGTATGAATCACGGCGTCTGGAAACAGCGACGAGCAAGCGCGCAACAAGAAAGTCCCGTGCAAGCAGTGCTCCCGCAATTCATGACCCTACAGCGCTACCTTGCCCTCACTGCCCAAGGACCTTTAAGCCGAAGATTGGCTTAATCAGCCACCTGAGGACCCACCCACCCCCAGATATGATGAAGAAGGTCTTCTTCCCTCAGGAAGGACGAACACCACCCACCACTACATCAAAATAATGAATAGCAACAAGGCTAGTGGGTGACCGAGAAAGACCTGGATAGATGGAGTCAGGGAAACACTAACTCATGGCATCCTCCTGACCCAAGCTCTCTGGCTGGTTGCAGAGAGATGTCTCTTTCTTCCCGCGACACCCAAAAAGATATAAGCGCGGATGAAAGTAAAGTAAAGTAATCAGTGTTTTTCAGTAAAATTCACATGGAAATGTGTTTTTATATGGGCCTAAAAGAGATTAAGCCAAAAAATAAAAATTGATGTACAATTTCCAAACAAGCTGACAATGTCTGTTTCTCCGATTTCGTTATTTTGACGAGCGCCCGATTTCACTACCCTGTCTCATATATATTAGAAGTTGTATTGTAAATATACAATTGTTCCATATAAATATTCTAGCTTGTTTCGTTCATTGATAAGGTAGGGGGGCGTCGCCAGCCTAAAATTGTAATCATAAAATTGCGTATTCGGGGGTTCGAGCCTCATCTCGGTCCGACGCTGTGTCCTTGAGAAAGGCACTTTACACGAATTTCCCATTTCGGCTCTGTCGAAGGACGTTAAACTTGAAGTTCCCTAATCTAAAAAAACCCACTGGTGCTAATGGGGGCGATGGACCTATTATTCACCCTTTCCCCCTTTGTTAGAGTAATGATTCTATGTGGGGAAGAAAGAATTAAAGACATATGGATAGATAACCACTCACACTTGAAGGATTAAGTCAAGAAAATACATTGCGGGAGTTACACACACACACACACACACACACACACACACACACACACACACGCACACACACACACATACACACATACACACACACGCACACATACTCACACACACCAAATCACACCAGACACACAACACTACACACACACACACACACACACACACACACACACACACACACACACACACACACACACACACACACACCAAACTACACACACCCACATGCACACAAACACACCACACCACACCCACCAATCACACACACACTCACACACACACACATACACACACAAAACACACATTAACACACTCACAACATAACACACACACTCACACACACACTCACACACTCACACACAGACACACACACAATCACACACACATATACACACACAAACGCACACATCGGCGACTTGCTTTTGGCGGAGATGACTAGTGAGAGATATTTCACTCGTCAGCTGGCCCCTCTTCGCATCATGTTATTGACGCGAGATCAGTGACGCAGTGCCTCAAAAGTATGTCACGCCGTACATTTCATAGTCTGTTCCTCTCAAAGTCACTTCCCCTTGTTATTTCCTATAGGGACAGAAGGACGGACGAGGAGTCATCTCAGTCAATACGTCGGAAGTAGTGGTACGTGGTGAAGTTGGTCAATAAATGTGCTCATAATTAATCAATTCATCAAATTTATGCTCTAGTGAAGGAAGCGGAAGCAGAGGTTTTTTAAATAGTTTTTTAAATAAGAGTTTTACGGCACTTGCTGATGCTGCGTTGCAACAATATGGTCATACAAGTGTTGAAGAATAGATGCGATACACGAGAGTTACATACATAAAACAGGAGGAGGAGGAGATAAGGACTATAGGTGCTCGGATAGGAAAGAAGGAGTAAACCACACCAGAGCACACGCCAACTACCCACGAAGAAGAAGAAGAAGAAAAAGAAGAAGAAGAAGAAGAAGAAGAAGAAGAAGAAGAAGAAGAAGAAGAAGAACAAGAACAAGAACAAGAAGAAGAAGAAGAAGAACAAGAACAAGAACAAGAACAAGAAGAAAATGACAAAGACAAAGGAGTAGAAGAAGAAGAATAGAAAAGATTTGGCGTATTGTGCGCGCTAATGCAATGAGATGCGGGCCAGGAATTAAGGAGAAGGGACGTGTCCAAGACAGGCCAATAATTGTACCGACCGAGAGGAAACATGCAGTAAGGTATGTTTTGAAATTTTAATCAAAATATTGACTAGAATTACTAGAATGTTCTGACTCCATCTTTCATGTGTGGATGGGGGTATGACGTGACGGTAAAGAAAGAGAAATGGTGTTTAAAACCCATTCAGACCAACCCCCTTGCTTAATTTACAATGAAAACAACATGGTGATTCCTCGGTTGTGAGGAACAGAGTATACTGTTGTACGGCATGAAACTTTCACCGGATGCCTGACCCCAATCTCGCCTAAATCGAGGAGTGGCGCGTCTCTACTTTTTTGTCTCCTCTTTTGGCTTGTTTTTTGTTCATTAATTGGTTTTGTCTCTGTCTTTTTTTTCTCTAGGTGTATTATCTTAAACTGCAGCAGCTGTTTTAAGGCAGGAACAGAAAGCGAGCAAAAAACCCGACGAGATAACGGGGTGACCAAAAACAACGCTCAACAGTATGCCCACTGCAGACAGACAGTCGAAGTCGGTTGATCTGAAGCGAGGCCATTAAATTCAGATTTTTTTCTCCTTTGAGAAGCAAAAGCTACCATCTTGGCATATTTTTTGTGTGCTTTGTTTTAGTAAGTGTTTTACGGTGTTCGCAACTGTATTAGGTCATTGAGCGCGCTGGACACATTAATAAGCCTTTTCAGTTTGGTTGCAATTAATTTTGAATTTGGCACATGTGGCGGCCGAAACCTACTACTGTCGATTATGGACGATCAATTGATCTTTCATGAGCACTACTTAAACACGGGACATTCGAGATTTTTCGCACTTATCTGAGATGGCTAGGTGCTAGATCCTACCCATGTTAAGATAAGCAGTGAGAAGGAGCCAAGGAGACACTATCCCCAAGAGAGCATGAGGGGGTTGGGGTGGGGTGGGGTGGGGATGGGGGCAAAGTTTTGTAAACACAAAGGTCGTCCCCGCAAGATCAGCTCAAGGTCTCTTTCATTGTGGGGTTGAGAGTGTTGGCGGGAATTATTGGGCTGTTGGTTGAAAGGAGACATTGACGTTACCAAACTCCGCTCGAATCGAACAAAAAAGTAGCCTACAATACATTTTCATGACTCTGAACTGGCTTAATTTATGAAACAAAGAAATTTGATGCGATTTCTCCAAGACCATCTCCATTACCCAATTCTCAGGTCTGGCAATAAGGGTAAGGGTAATCAGTCGTATGGGAGAAACTAGCTGTGTTGTGAACGGTACGTTCTGCCTACAAATACACTGCACGGAGGTCAAATTTCACCCAATAAGTTTTGAACAAGGAAGGGTTCTGTACTTAGAATGCGCTGAAGCTGCCCCATCATTAATCTACCCTACTCGACCCGATCCGATCAGACCCAACCCGATTCGATCCAATCCGGTCAGGTCCGATCCGAACCAGCCAATGTGCACCCAGTATCATTAAGTAGCAGTCTCTGCTGAGACAAAGGGCTATAAATAGGAGACGAGGGGACATCAGAGTGGGAATGCACGAAGAAAGTTTACAAGCAGCAATGGAGGTTGCTGGAAGCTTCGAGAAACGTGTAAGGAGAGGACTGCTAGTTGTGCTGGTGATGGCGTTTGCGGCTGGTGGAACAGGTCAGTGAACTTAGACCTTTCCATCTGACATCACCTGTTTTCTTCTAATCGTCCACATCTATTGCACACCACTTCTCGTATTCTCCCCCCCCCTCTCT